CACACACACACACACACACACACACACACACACCACTGAATGCTGTGAATGTAGTATGCATCTTTACCCTTACCTTAAGTCAATGCACACAAAACAAGCTGATTCAGTGACCCCCGTTTCTTTTCTCTGCTGTGATCATGTTGGATTTTTTTAACACTGGGTTCTTCTACTCTCTCACTTGGTGCAGTGACTGCTTAACCCTATCCGTACGCCTGGGGTAGAAAATAACGACCAACAGATTGAAGTCCACTGTTCATCAGATGGACAATCTCATTCATAGACTATGTCGTTTGTTACTAACCCTATCCGTACGCCCTGGGGTTATTTTGTACCCCCAGGGTTGTATTCTTCACATTTTAGAATATTTCTAGTGCGAAGATCTCTTTGAAACTTTCAGTGTTTCACTTCTCAAATTATCATGTTGACAAACTGCTATGAAAAGCGTATGGATCGGATTAACGAGTAAATTTCCTCTTTGGAAAGTGGTGGCACAGAGTTCCCCACATGGTATGGGTACGACAGTAAAACACGACGTACGGATAGTATAGGGTTAATGCACTTTTTGCATCTTGTTTGTTGTGACCTCTTTTTGGTTTGTTGTGATTGGTTGAGGGAATAGCTTTCTCCTGGCGTTTGGATCCTTTTTTGGGATCAAAATTACAATAATTTTCATTGTTAAAGTAAGGATTTTCCTGCAATCTTTTTAAGCCGTGGCTATTGTGTCATGAATGTAATGAACATTTTGTAAAAAGTATACAGAAGGATGTTGCTTTCTTGTTTTGGGAATCATTTCTGTTGGAGGGGGATGTGGTGTGGTCTTCGCTATGTTGCTTTTCGTTTTACGGTATCCTAATGTGAACTGTTCAAAATGTAGCAGCTGGTGGTGATAATTTAGTGTTATTGGATGATTTCTCTTTAAGCAGTGATAGGAAATTAGTATACCAAGACCTAATGAGAAAAGCAAAATAGAATAATTATTGTCTTTTTTTTAAACAAACTTTTACCACCATTTCATGACTAATGTTTCTGTTTTCAATCTTATAATTTTTAAAAAAAGTTTGGGGGGGGGGGGAGGGGGTATGTTTCTCAGCAGTCCAAAAAGCCCCATAGACTCAATATTTTCCTTTTAGTATTAATTTATTTGTACTTTATGAATTACTGTAACAGCATCAAATCATTAAAATGTTGGTTTGCTCGGCTTTAGTTATGTTTGCTGGGGGGTTTTTTTTACATTGAGTGTTTCAGTGACCATCACGAGATGGCCTTGTGGCTCGTATAAGGAGGGTTCAACTGGTAAGAGAGAGCCGCTTCTCGACTCTCTGTTTTGTTATTTACGTTACATGTATTTTACGCTCTTTTTGTCAAGTGATGAAAGGTCATAGAAATATACACATTATGTTCATGTTCTACCATCTAACTCTCACAAGCAAATACATTCTGTGTCTTGTCACCATTTGCTTGATTGGTGGGTGCTCTGGTGTGTTTTGCTACTTCTTTCTATCAAACAACTGTCGTCCTTCCTTATCTCTCTCTCTTTCTTTTCTTTGTACGTTGTTCTCAAGTTACACCTATGATCAATTGAGTCGATAGTGCTGTAAAACACCTACTCTATCAAAAATCAATTAAAAAGCACCTATGATCTCCAGCACTTGTATCCTGACCTATATATATATATATATATATGTGTGTGTTGCAAGTGCCGTAACACTCGTACTAATTTTAACTAAACTTATCGTCTTTGCCAGAAAATCCGCGCAGCCTCCCCCGTAGAGCACACAGGCTGCACCAGCGGCCTTGGGAACAGCCTGGACTCGGCCTGGGACCCCAACGACCGCCTGGACAGCTGTGGTCAGTCCTGGTCATCCTCCCACCAGGTGGACCCTCCGGCCAACTTTCGCAAAACAGGAGGCAGCGGGGGTCTCGTGGCGGAGCACAACACCAGTGGCGGCAGGGGAGAGCAGCATCCCGGAGGTTTGGTCCGCGGCTTGAACATCTACGAGAACAGCCAGCCCGTCGGCTTGAAGCACGCGAAAAGCTGCGGCAACATCAGCATGAACAGCGCCAGCAGGAACAGCGGCAGCATCAGCATGAACAGTGCCAGCAGGAACAACGGCAGCATCAGTCTGTACCCTCAGATGACCGGCGACTACTCCCTCTACTCGGAAATTGACGATTTGAAAGTGAGAGACGATTACGACGATGAAGATGACGAGTTTGAAGCATGACCCGCCATTAGTGTGGTGTGACCTGTGTGTGTAAATTAGCTGTCCAAAGTTTGTGAATATGTTTGGGTCTTGTTTGATTTTGGTCCTCTTTATTGTGTGCAAGTAAAGAATTTAATTTTTTTTCTTTCTTCCCAGTCCAGTGTGGTTTCTGAGTAGTGTTGGAAGAAATACCAAACAACGACTAAGCCCTGTGCTGAGTTCAAATGTCATTCTGCATTAGTTTGTGTTTGGGAAACCTAAAATTGCCGTGTTCTGTTTCCCTCTGCTGTACTGGCTTGCCTGTTTCCTGGGTATTTTACTAATGTTGGTCAGAGCCCAAACAAAAGTACAGAGTCGATGTTTCAATTTCATGTAGACAAAGGGGAACTCATTTTTCTTGGGCGTTTTCATTTTTCATTACGTTACTATTCTTTTTCTGGTCCGGTGGCAAAAAACAAACATTCTGTGGGTAGGATCATGCAATACTTTCTTTTTTTTCTTACAGTCATAAGTCTGTCCTTTTCCCCCCACAGTTCAGCGAGTGTATGTTAATTCATTGTTTTATCGTACTGATAGCTGAAGTGTTGTTGTTTCATGGTTTGAAGTAAGTTCTCCAAGGTAATGAAGTTTCGCATTGTGCTTAAGTTGTGTGGAACACTGTGGGATTTAGAGAAGATTTCCATGATTGTTTGTGTACTCTTAATTATTGTGCAGGTTGCTATGAAAGGCAGGAGTCGGTCTGTGATAATAAATATAATGTTCGACTCCTTGGACAATTTATCATTCATGGTTATTTCATGTACACATTTTGCGTCAATAGCAACTGTTCATTAAGATTCATCGTCACAGTTCACATGTGTGACGAGGTTGATTCATCTGTATAAGAAGCCTCTTCACCACAGCTCATTCATTGTTTTTCCACTTTATTTTTGTAAGAATTTTAAAAATCATTGCATTTTGTAATGTCTGAGCTTTGTTGTCTGATCAGAACCATCTCTTCATTTTCTGTGTTTGTTGACTCATTTTCAAACTTAAAATACATTCATCCTACTCTGCCGTGTCAAGGGAGAGCGACGTATCTGCACTTTTTATGATTTTGATTTACGTCACGCTGCCATTGGAAATATGGGCATGGCTTTTCAGTTACGTCTGTTTGCCATAGTGAAATATCCTATTTGCAGTGCAGATACGTCTTCCTGCCTTTGACAAAAGATGCAGAATGGGTATAGGTGTCCATTTAAACGAAGATGTAATATTTGCAGATACGTCGGTCTGCCTTGGCACAGCAGTACTGGTGTCTTTATGTGAAATAACGGATTGTCATCAGAAATGGTAATTTCCATACTGACACTGACGGTAAAAGAAGACTATTTCAAGCATGTATCTGTCTCTCTGTTTTAACTGTTTACCTCTTCATCCTCCTTGACCTTGTAGCTTTGAAATGTTTGTCACGTGTGGGTTGGTACCTCCTTCCTTATTAAATTGAATCGCTTTGCTTTTCGCTTCATTTCGACGGCTAGCTTAAGTTTAATAAGGATATCATGCAGGTATGGCATGCCAGCTCTATAAACTGCAGTGAATGCATAGAGAGTAAGAAGAGGGTGAGTGGGCATGATGTGACCATGTAAAAAAGCTACACGATGCATTTCATAATATCAGATTGCATTTGTATAGCGCAGATTCACACTCAACAGCAAGATTTATTCGCTTTACAATCTCTGTACTATTACCCCAGTAGACCTGATGGCATTCTGAAACAATCTCAACTTCCTGGGAAGCGCACAGTGCAAGCTGCCATTTTTATAGGCGCTCCATTTAACATAAATAATTCTCAAATTCACTGTCGTAGCATTGCTACTATACTATTTATCAGGAAATCTGCTCATATATTTGCTGTCATGCCAGAGCTTTTGTTTTGGGGAATTTTGCAAAACTTGAAAGACTAATGATTTTAACAATGACGTTTTGTATTTACTTTTGTAAACCACGCGTTTATGCTTCTGATTTTGATCTCTGCTCTCAGATTCACAATGCTCTTTTGTCCTTTCATAGGGAAGATTTGTTGTCTCTGTCAGTATGGCTATATGAAACACTCTTCATGGATACCTGTGAAATGGAATTGGTGTATATAACTAAGATATTTATTCCCATGTAAGAATATATACCAGGTATTTTCTATGGCTTTGCAAGTGTATTAGAAAACAAACAAATCCAGAAAATAGTACTGGTACGGATACCTTGGAAATTGAATTGATTTATATAACTGTGAAGTATTTATTCCCATATCAAATTATATAGACCTACGAGGTATTTTCTATAACTTTGGCATTTACATACATATATATGAATAAAAAACAAATGCAGGAAACAGTACTGGTATTTTAACATTTATACTCTTCTCTAAATTTCTTTATACACTTTTTTCAACCTTTATAAATTGCATAAATAAAATATTATAGCTCAGAAGCGACTATTTTTTCGTCAACTCCAAGATTATCCAAACTGTGATACACTGTTATTCCGATATATACGTATATATATCTTTATCCCTGATTCTTCTTGTGTTTACTGATAGATATAATGTGATTAACACTTTCCTCCCACGCAGCGCGCTCAACACTTTATCCTCACAGACCAGGATACAGGTGCGGTACGCGAACGCTATATATATCACACCGGCGCCAATTGGAGTCCCGTGAGGGCAAAGTGTTTCACTTTTTTTGTGGGGATGGGGGTGGGGGGGACTTGTTGTTGTTGTTGTTGTTGTTGTTGTTATTTTTAATCCCTTCTTGCCACTTTGGTAAGCGTCCTTAACTTTATGTCTTGTTTTTCACTCTGCGAACAGAACCTCATCTTTAAAATTGTTTGTGAATTTTCTTATTGCTTGTCCCGAATTAGGTGTCTGTTTTATTTACTTTTTTCTTTAAGAAGGTGGGGGCAGGGAAGGGGACTTAGGTGTTGTGACTGTTTTTGTTTTGAAATACATGGTTGTGATTGTTATACTAATTTTATCTTAAAATGCAGCTCAATGCCTTGTTCAGTTTTTCTCCCAGTTGCTAAACTAAGAAAGGGTATCTGCAGAAAGTGTTTTTGTGTGTGAAGATTATGTTGAACTGATATTTCCTGCATGATACTTGCTGCTGTGATCAAAGGAATGTTGCTCTAGTATCCGTCCCAACATTTTTCTGTGATCAAAGAACTTTTTTCTTTACTGACAGGGTTTTTGTTGTTTTTTTTGTTCGTTGTTTTTTTGGGTTTTTTTGGTACAGTATTCAACTCATTCTGCTCCATTTTTCTGAACTGTGATTCAGACACCATTTTTGTTAGTCAATAAATTTATTAATATATAATATAGCTCTATATTATTATATATATATATATATATATATATATATATACTTTGTCATAATCAGTAGAAATATACCTCACTTATCTTTAGATTACATTCCAGTGGAAAATCTTATTGGTTTTTGACATCATCAGTTCTTGTTGTTACTGTTAAAAGCCTCATCAATTCATAAATGGCAAATCAAAATGATCCATGATGCCAATTTCTAATCTTTGCCTGTCGTCCATTTCCCCCTGTCCTCTGGCCAATTCCCTCTGTCGTCTCGCCAATTCCTTCTGTCATCTGCTCTGTTGTCTGGCCAATTCGCTCTGTCGTCTGCTGTGTCCTCTTGATTTTATTTAGAAATACTGAAATTTTCAAAGAGATCTTTGCACTAGAAATATTCTAAAATGTGAAGAATACAACCCCGAGGGTACAAAATGACCCCAGGGCGTACAGATAGGGTTAACCAGCTGGCCCGGGTGACAACTTTTAACAGACAAACTTTCCTGCTGCATTCTGGGACATTTTCACAATCGGCCTCAGACTTCAGCCACGGAGTTACTGTGTATCGTTGACTATAAGGTTTTGTCTGGCTGAAGAATGATGTAGGTTTATGGTCAAGATTCCAATGGAAGTTTCGTTAAATCTTCACTGTAACTGTAAGTACCATTTAAAAATTCCGTCAAGTGAATTGAAACTTCAACAAATTATTCTAAAAGAAGCGTTTAAAAAGCCGCTTCACTTCATATTACATACTATAAAGGTTTTTGTAGAAAGCTGGACATTTTGATGCCACCGTAGCCTGAGCTGGACTTTATTCCCTCTATGACTTGTGTAGAAGAACTGTATATATTGTATATGTGAAGCTGAGCACAAACGTGGCTTGGCCAGAGACTTTTGTGTCTTTTAAGCTGTGTGTGTGTGTCGATACTGCGCTTGTATGTCGATACTGCGCTTGTATGTCGATACTGCGCTTGTATGTCGATACTGCGCTTGTATGTCGATACTGCGCTTCCTTAGAATTACAGAGTTCTGTCGGACATTTTGGGCCCATTTTGAATTAAGTACGACCATGATGTCAGAGTCCATTAAATGTTCTATCCGCTTTATCAAAATTGTAAGATTATTCAGAGCCGCCATCAAGATATTCAAAGAAGTACATTTGAAAAAGCTTGACAGGTTGTGAAACTCAACATTTTGGAACGTCCAATTTCTGAAAATGAAGTACTGAGCAGATAGAACTTTGTAATTCTGACGTAGTGACTGGTCACCTGTGTAGGTGGAGAGGCTTCAGGTTACAGGTTGAATGTGTATAGTCACTGTATATCTTATCACGGCAGCCATTGTAACTGGGTTTTGGGGGGCCCAAAATTCTTAATTGTGATTTGTTTGACTGTTGTTTTGACTGTTGTTTCCACTCAATGACGAGATGCGTGCGTGCGTGTATGCGTGCGTGTGCGTGTGTGTGTGTTGGTGCATAAGGTGTAAAGCTCAAAGCTACACCATTTTCTGTCCTTTGAAACAAAATTTAACTCTTTATCTCCACTACGCCGGGGCCCTTAAATTTTGGTGCTAAGTCTAAAAAGGACAAAAACGTAATTAAATGGGTCATTAAATTGAAACTAGCAAACCTATTTTGATAGTTCTTCATCTATTAAATGAGCTTCCAGTATAAGAGATCTGTTTTTGACAATCGCTAAGAATTGTAATTTGACGTCGAAGTCGTCACAACAGAATGTGCCCGGTCTGCTGTCAGCGGCTCACTGGCACGCAGTTCCGACCACGAGCCGGGGAGCGGCTTGCCGGAGATAAAGAGTTAAATCAAACAGCCAAGATAGCTGAAATGCAGTCGTATCAACATTCAACCTGTAAAATGTGTCTTGTCTACTTGCATTTGTAAAAACGAAATAAAGAGACCAGATTTGTTTTTGAATTAAAACCATGAGACAGAAATTCTTGCCATTCAAAGAAAATAAATTGAAAGAACTTTTACCTATAATAATAATACTATATCTGTGAACTGGCCCTCAATCAAAGCAAATTTTATGCCTACCAAAAAAGTTAAATTATGTTGTAGAAATGTAATGACACGTCAATTTTTCGTCTTAAAAATTGAAATGAGCTGATTTAAAATGCATAGGCCAGATGATATTGGGAGTTTTTTGGGTACTTTATTCATTAAAGTACATCTACATATTTGACCGAAAAATCATCAGAAGGTAGCTAATGGAGAAGATTTAGTTTATTCATACGTAATGGATAAACTAGAAGGTTTCTGATTATATATATATATATATATATATATATATATATATATATATATATATATAATATTATATATACACACTGTCCAGTTTTCGTAAATATAATGCTGTGAACTGTGAATGCTGCTGATGAAGAGAACAAACAGCCAATGATGGGTTATGGGTGGGTTTTTTGTTCAACTGTTTTGTACCTTGGCTCTTTAATTTGTCCCTTGGCTCTTTTCTTCACAAGGTTTCAGTTTTTCAATGAGTTTTTGTGCACACTGTGTTGATTTCACTATAGCTTCATTAGGACGTGCTGAGTTTTCTCCACAATTTGACAGAAGTACACACTGCGTTGATTTCATCATGTTCCTAAAGCTGAGCTTGTTGTATCCACAGCTTGGCTGCGATCATGTCGGAAATGTTTGATCAGATATAGTCCAGCACTTGTGCTTGTAATTAAAACTTGTCTATTTGTTTGTTTGTTTGTTTTTTGGGCCTGTTTGTTTGTATTTGTTGTGAATTGAACATGTATGCATTTGAAATCTTTATGAATAAAATATATCATATGATATATATTCCATTTAACTTTTGTGTTTGCTGTTTGTTTATGAATACATGAAATACGGGGGGGGGGGGGGGGGGGCGTTGCATCGTAGAGGGAAAGCATTGAATTTGTTTTCTGATTAGAAAACAGGTCATTTGTGTCATGACGAGGTGGAATCAGGCGCTTGTCAATTTTTAGTTTAGTTTTAGGAAGAGTTTTACGGCACTTGCAACACAATAAGTACAAGTGAGTAACAAGCACAAAAAAGGAGGAGAGATCAGGACGATAGATGTTTGACAGGAAAGAAGGAGCAAACCACACCAGAGCCTCCGTGCACCCACTGTCAATTTTTGGGCATATAATGTGGTTATTGGTATTATGTTAAAGTTTGTTTATTGGGAGTGCTTATTTACTAGGCCACATATGGCAGAGCACAGAATTTACATTATAAGCCTCTGCTCAGTCTTTTAAGTATACATAATAAAATACATATAATATGATCTAGATCTATATATAATCATTTTATGTTATTTTCTGGATATTTTTAATACTCTTTTTTTCTAAATTGTTATAAAATCAAATTGTGCCATTTTCTTTGATAAGAATAGCATTAGCAGTGGACTTTTTAGACAGCGAGTCTCTGATTCAATATTTTAAAAAAATGCTAATCAATGAAAATTGAAAATTGATTTAATAATATAGTCCTGTAGAGGATAGGTGGACTCCGGGTTCGGCATAGCGAAATACTAGGTTTTAGGATGTGAACCCCGGAGTCACCGTAGTGAAATAAGGTTTGGTTTAAGTTTAAGTAAGGATTGGTGGACCCCAGGGTCAACATAGTGATAAATAAGCAGGTTTAAGGTGCCCCCCCCCCCCCCACCCCCACCCCGGGGTCTACCTAGCGAAATACTAGGATTAAGGACAGGTGGACTCCGGGGTCACCGTAGTGAAATAAGTAGGTTTAATTTTAAAAGGATTGGTGGACCCCAGAGTCACCATAGCCGTAGAGGAATAAGAAAGGTTTAAGGATTGGTGGACCCCCGGGACACCTTGATTAAACCTACTTATTTGACTGCGGTGACCACAGGGTCCATTCTAAAACTTAACTAGTATTTCGTTAGGTAGACCCTGGGGTCCACCTTAAACCTACCTAATTTCACTACGTTGACTCCAGGGTCCACCAATCCTTAAAATTAAACCTAGATCTACTGATTTCACTACGTTGACCCCAGGGTCCACCAATCCTTAATTAAACCTAGATCTATTTATCATTTCACTACATTGACCACGGGCTCCGCCAGTCCTACTATAAAATAAACTGAGATCTACTTATTTCACTATGTTGACCCCGGCGTCCACCGATCCTTAGTTAAACCTAGATCTACTTATTTCACTACGCTGACTCCGGGGTTCACATCCTAAAACCTAGCATTTTGTTAGGTAGACCCCGGGGTCCACCTATCCTTTTGGCTCGATAGACCCTGTGGTCTGCCTATCTACTTCCTTGATAATAACTGAACACAATACATGCCAGTGGTCATGAATAGTGAAGAAAAATGTGGAAAAAAAAGATAATGAGGTAGATCTAGACTATAATTTGTTAAAAAAATTGCAAGTGCAAGTGAAGATCATAAGATAATTTTGTTATTTTCTGGTAATCTTTTCACGGTTTATAAAATGTTCCAGTGGGCCTACTACTAGATCTATGTCTCTGAAGAACATTTTGCTTGACTTTATTAGCTTTTTTCATGTACTTGAAAGCATAGAATAGTTTCACACAAATGTATGCACAATACTTTGAAAAAGAAAGATAAGGTCAATGTTGTTGTTGTTGTTTTTTTAAGATTCCGTTTTACGTTGAGAAAAGCGCTAAAGACAGGTTAAAAAAATTTAAGAATGCCCATAATATTAGGAATCCGAAATTACTACCTTGATCTAGTTGGCTTACTCTTTAATAACCCTGAGCAGTTAAGAAAAAAAAAAAAGAGAATGATATAGGATTTGTCTAAATATAACCAATAGCATAAAGATATTGTCCATTTTGTCCAATTATCCTTGCAGGTAAAATCACCCTGTACTGTACCTCAATAAGCACAAAAAGAATATTTCTGTGACATTGTATAAAGGTGTTTTGTAGTTGAGTACTATGTAAAATTCTCAACAAAATAATGTACATTTGGACCGTACAACTGAGATAGACACTCATGCACACAATAACATTCACACATTACACACACACACACACACACACACACACACACACACACACACACACACACAAACACACTATTACATTTACTCTCTCTCTCTAGATCTCTCTCTCACCACAATAACACACAAAACAAACACATACACACACACTCACACACATACAACTCTTACCCTTGGTCTATTTTTCATTTAGTATCATCCTCTATTTTGAAATAATCCCCCGCACTAAATAAAAGGATCAGTAGAATCTCGACCTTCCGAATCCACGGTTAGTTCAAGAAATCTACCATATGACGTGGCCTAAATAAGGTAAGGGAGGGGGGGGGGTAGCTTAGTTGGGCCATGTGTGGCCTAAATAAGGTAAGGGAGGGGGTTTGGCTTATTTAGGCCACAGTGGCCTAAATAAGGTAAAGGAGGGGTCCTCCCTTACCTTATTATTATTATTATTATTAGTATTAGTATTATTATTATTGTTGTTGTTGTTGTTGTTGTTATTATTATTGTTATTAACATTATTATTTCGAACTTTCACACACAATCATTAAGACGAATTTTCATATTTATTAGTAGTATATATAATATACATCGTTATTAATCCTTTTAAATTTCAGATTGAAAAAAAAAGCAACAAAAGTGAAACATATGTTAGAATAACAAAGTAAATGATATAACGCTCCTTTCTAAAAGTGTTGTTTTTTTAACAAATGAAATGTGATTTCATCATAAACACAGACATCGCTATAAACAAGTTCCAGTCATCTTTCCTCCGCAGTCACTGTTCCTTTCTACCTCAGCCACTGTTCTTTGGTATGGAAATCCTTGTTCCTTTGACCCTCAATAACTGTTCTTTTGTATGGAAGTTCTTGTTCCTTTGTACCTCAATCACTGTTCTTTTGTATGGAAGTTCTTGTTCCTTTGTACGTCAATCACAGATCCTTTGTACAACAACTGTCTAGTATTGTCCAGGCAGTACGAAAAAACGCATCGTTCTGTATAGGCCACACGTTACTGGCTATTTTTGAAGAAGGCAAAATTTGCCATGTGAGTGGGTGTGCAAGTGTTGAATGTCTCGACGAGCCGAGAGGTCGTGTCAAACCAGAGGGTTTTGCCAGTTTTAGTTTTAGTAAGAGTTTTACGGCTCTTGCAAGACAATAAGGTCATATAAGTGCAGAAGATTAGAGGTGTTACAAGAGAGTAACAAACACAAAATAGAAGGAGGAGGAGAGATCAGGAAGACAGACGTTTGATAGGAAAGAAGAAGCAAACCACACCAGAGCACCCGCCAGAGCACCCGCTTTTGCCAGTCTGGCTGGATGCACGGGGTAGAAGGTGTTTATGATTGGGACGAGCGATGAGTGTTTCATGCTTTACCAAAGATCGTACATCACAAGATAACCCACTCCTCTCTTTGAACCAGTTTAAAAAAGTGTCCTCCAAATATGGTGGCGCCCTCTTCGAAAAAGTTCGGAATTTGGGAACGGAGTTCTGTTACCCTTCTTGAGCGAAAACAATACAAGTGAAGCTAACAAACTGTGCTATTCTTCTTCTTCTTCTGGAGAAACGAAAGAGAGCTTCAAAACAAAGACTGCAGCGCCATCTGAAGCAATGCGCGGACTTCCGCGAACACTTTTTTGACTGAGTGAATAATCTTGTTATGTACGATTTTTGGCCTCACTCCTTGCAGCACATCTTTCACCCTCACTCTCAAAAAGATTTCTCTCTCTGACCCAAAGTGCCCTCATCGTTTGACTCAAAACGCCCTCACTCTCAAAAAGATTTCTCTCTCTGATTCAAAATGCCCTCACTCTAAAAAAAATCTCTCTCTCTCTCTCTCTCTCTCTCTCTCTCTCTCTCTCTCTCTCTCTCTCTCTCTCTCTCTGATTCAAAATGTCCTCACTCTAAAAAAAATCTCTCTCTCTCTTTCTCTCTCTCTCTCTCTCTCTCTCTCTCTCCTCTCTCTGTGTGTGTCTCTCTCTCCCCTCTCCCCCCCCCCTCTCTCTCTCTCTCCCCTCTCTCTGTGTGTGTCTCTCTCTCCCCCCCTCTCTCTCTCTGTCTCTCTCTCCCCTCCCCCCCCCCCCTCTCTCTCTCTCCCCCCCCCCCTCTCTCTCTCTCTCCCTCTCTCTCTCTCAGAATGAGTTCTTCCTCTGATGACTCAAAGCTCCCAGATTAGTTTTCCTGTCTCTGTCCACGAAAAGTTCACTTCCGGGATCCAATGTCGTGTCCAGATTGAGAATCAGGGTCAGCGACGGTGGCGTTTCCTCTTCGGGCGTGCTCTGGGAGATCCAGGTTCGTACCCTCTGGTCGTAGGTCTCCGTGGGTGGGATGTCTAGCGTGCTCACCCTAGTGGCCAGAGGGTAGGAGGGACGGGGGAGGACGGGGGACTGGCAGGGGGCGAAGAGAGAGATGCCACGCCTGTCTTCCCACTGGGGATGTACGGGAAAATACGATGATGGTGAGGATAATGATACATGCAGGCATTATAATAAGCATTTTACGGCACTTGCAACACAATTAGATCACATAAGTACCGAAGATTAGAAAGTGTTACAAGAGAGCAACAAACACAAAAAGAAGGGGGGGGGGTAATTTCAATTGTGTATCGCACAACTTCGATTAAAGAGCACTGGGCGCTTTACAATAGAAAAACAGTATGTGGGGCAGCGTGGTGGAATCAGGCTCTCGTCAAAATAATGAAATCGAAGAAAACTGCACTTTTCTCCCTGCTTAGCAATTTTTATCAAATTTTTGTTTTTTGGCTCAACACCTTTTATGTCCATTTACAAACATATTCCTTTGAGGATTTCACCGAAAACGTTGATTAAAGGCACAAAAATATAAATTTACAGTCTCCATGGACTCTTCCAGGCTTTGGCGGCCATTTTTTCGCTAATGTTACCTCTTAAATCAGGTGACCCCCACCTCTTTCAATCCAAAATATCTCCACTTCTATTGAAGATGGAAGGGTATTTTTTTCCATGAAAGCAAGACAAATGAACAAGCTTTAAGGTGATACTGTAGTTTTTATCTTATGTTACCTTTCACTTCCAACGGCGCAGATCTCGTGGGTCCCCGGGCGCCCGGCGACTGCTGTGTGTGGTCTCTGTTACTGCTAGGACTGACGCTCTCTCTTCTCACGTTGAGTATTTAGTCTCCAGTCGATCTTGTTTGTACTCATCAGTGCACGTGGAAAAACTGCTGCCCGTGCACCACCAACTGGCCAGAAAGTCGCGCCCAAAACTAGTCAGGTTTTGGGGACGTGAAAGGCTAAAATATTGGCCCTACAATACCTCTCTCCCAGTGCTGTGCACAGTGCGGATAGTAC